AGTCCCAGAAGAATCCATGAGGTCATTTGGTGCTCACCCTGACCCAAAACAGACGTAGCACAGCACTGCACCGAGATGCATGCCAGGAAGGGAGTGGGTTCGCAGCCCGTCCCGGCTGCACTCAACCAGGCAGAGTACAGAGGACAAAGTGCCCCCTGGGATGCTAGAACGTGGCGAGTTTAAGGCCCATCCTTAACACCCAGCCGCCTCCTCTCTCACCAGGCTGCGCAGCCCACCTGTCATCTCACAAATAAGCCACTGCTTCGAATAGGTCTCCTTTCAATTTAATAAAGCATTGAGGTGAGCTACAGGACAACCTCTCTCTGGACTTTGCCTCAACCAGAAATTGCAATGCTAAAAAAGAAAATCATCAGTCAGCAGCAGTGACTCAGAAGTGAGTTCCCGCTTTTTGGTATCCAAAAGCTGTAAGTAAGCATCCTAGCAATCCTAGTTGCCAAGCAACCTAGGCTGTCAAGGGGAAGTATGTGTGAATGAGGCAGGAGGAAGAAAAAGTATCCTGAACTATGTAGAAATTTTACGCTAGTCCAAAGGAAACATGGCTGGATGAATAATCATCTTTCATTTAATATCAAAGAACAGATACTGTTTTACAGTAGGCATAAAATAATGCCAGCTCCTTCCGTTTTCTGCAAACTGTGCACAAATTTCTTCCAGTAGAAAGTTTTGCTTTGCTTTCTCACCAAAACACTTAAAGGCTTACAAAGGCTTGCTTTCCCAAAGGCCTTGAGAGCTGTTGGTAGACAGAGCTGTGACTCGTGCTACAGATCCTACAGCATGAGAACTACTATATGCCTACGTACAGGTAAAACAAAAATTGCAAGCTGTGACACGGTATAAACATAAGCTCAGTCAGTAGATTAGTGCTTGTGTAAGACGGTGCTCCAAGTAGCGAGCAAACTAATATCCAACATGCCACAATTCTTTGATTCAACGTTTGCTTAAAGATGGGCTTTTAACTCCATTTCTGAAACAATCAGCTCCTGTGGGTTTGAACAAGACCTTTAAATGTTACTTGAACATAGAGTTATGGGTGTTTCTTTTACCGGAAATTAAGTGTGTGAATTCTTCTTAGTTGCAAATCACCGATGTGTGGTCTGTGGAATAGATGTGCCTCCCTCTACTCAAAAGCTGTGCGCAAAATGCTTTCGCTGGTATTTGAAACGTTTCTTAAAACTGCGATTTTGGCCACTGGAATAACGTTAGCACCACCTAGAGGCACACGTTAAAACCACGCTCACATTTTGCCCAGAAAGATTTTAACTTGAAAATGGCTGTATGTTACACCTCTTCAGTTTAAGGAGGTTCCCTTTGGCCTATGGTTTTGAGAGCTATTTCTGATACAAAATTGTGCTCCAACGTCTTCATCCGACATGAGATTTTTAACTGCAAAAAACGTATGTTTTCTTTGCTTCCGCCCTGAAAGAAACCTAGAAAGAAAATTAATTTAGATTTATTTTCACATAATTAAAATGGACAAAATCTCCTCAGCAATGAAAGAACAGACAAAAAGCACAAATAGTTCTGTTTTATTGACTTTAAACAAATTAACAAATTCTATTAAAACTGTAATCTTAGTACACCTGATTTTGAACACAGCTTATCAGATCTGTCTTTTAAGCGAGCTCATTCCCTTGAGAATATTCCCATATACAACCACGTTCAGCATCTCCTTAAGGCTCAGAAATACTTTGCCTGCTTGCCGCTGTCTTTTCCTTGGCCCGTATCATGTCAGCGACTCCCAGTCATCCTGTGTTTGTCTAACGTATCTAGGTCCTTCATTTCCTACCGATGAGTTCTAGGTTTATAGGAGAGTTTTGCAGTTGATCCCTCAATACACGACTGCAGTTCATCACATTTTTTTCCTCGAGCCATGAAATGACAGGAATCATCTGTTGTTGGAGGCGCTGGGACAAACATTGCTGCAGGAGCGGCCACTGCTGCTGACCCTGCGCACGCCTGCACGCCTCGTCTGCACCCACGCACCCTGTGACTCCCAGAGGAGTTTCTCATTCTGCCCAGAGACACGTTCCCAGCGTTCCCCTCAGCTCTCCTTAGTACGTGCCTGTAGTTTTCAGCCATGCAAAGACTTTCTATCACTCCATTTTTCAAAACTACCTAATTTTTCTAATACAATTTTCCCTAATTTTCTGGTACAATATTCCAGTTCTTCATCCTCTCAAAAAAGTTTCCAAACTTTTTTTGTCAGAAATGTCATGAACAGATGACTTACAGGTTTCTATTCTCATCTCTGAATAGTTTCCTACATTCCTCAAAACATACCCTTTTGAAGACAAGGCCTTGAATACTTGTCTGTTTCTTACGGTATTTTATTTCAACTGAATAAATTCATAGTTACTATATCCAGCTTTTCTACAGTGTCCTAGCTGCTTTCTAAAAGCTTGTTTAATAAAACACACTATTTTTCTCAGATCAGAGACTCTTTGAGGAAGAAGTCTGTTAACTTTCACCAGGAACAACTGTGTCCCACTGTTATCAATATAATTTTGCTCTCCATTCTATACTGGGAAATGAATCCAGCCATCATAACTAACCACTTCATAGAATTTATCTTTCTAATAACATTACGTACTCAAGACATGCCTAATCAAATGAGAGTCAAAGTTTTTAGCAGATACCCAACATGATAACAAGAGCCTCTTTTTTTTTTTTCCCTACCAGGATAACCTACTCAGTTCTTTTCCTGTTCCTTTAAAGTCTGCCACCACTTCAGTATGCAGTAGTATCTCACCATTACGCAGTGTCTTTATTCCTGACCTCCTTGGACAGCAAAAGATTTTTGTGTATCATGATGTTACTCTGTGTCATGATTTAAGATTTTACTATTGCTATTCCACCATTTTATTTCTTTGAGATCCAGGTTTTTATCTTACTGCGATTATTTCCAGTCCTTTGCATTAGTATGAGAACAGATCAGTTTGGGGGTTTTTTCTAATCTCATCCAACATCCCAACACTGCATTACGTATCAATTCTTCCATCACATGTATCGTCTGGCTGCTATCAGCGTAATTTTCTTTCTCCTTGCTACCTTACTCCTTCTAACAGATGCAAGCAGTTTGAGTCTACCGCGTGCCCTTTTTGACACTTGAATGCTTCACACAGTCACACAAGACAGGTCTTTGTTGGGAGCCTCTGTCTCTGCCTTCATGTACTAGCATTTTCCTGAATTGACTTAAGCGGGAAAACACACATTAGATAGTTAAGTATTTCTTCCGGGCCCCAGGAAATATGTATCTTATTTAAATAAAGAAGTGAATGTGATAGCAGGATACTTGATCCTGCAAAATTAATTCACAGACGCATGGAGGTCTTCTGGTCCAATCGCCCTCCTCACTTCACCAACACATCCACCAGCTGTGCTCTGCAAAAACAAAACAAGGTGCATCCTCATTTCCAAATAAAGCTTAATGACTGAAACTCCCAATCGCTATATACAGGTGCCATTTTCTGCCACATGAAAGTGTTCAAATTCAGAAAACCAGTGGCACGGACAGTTTTCCCACTGGCTGGACCATGCACCTCTTTTCTTAGCACGGAGGTTGTGACGCCGTCCTTCACAAATGTTTAACACGGCCTACACATGCGAGTACTAGCTCCACCACACGGCAGGATGCTGACGGGTGACACCGCCAGGTCTGTCTGTCCACTGCTCGGTGCAGGTGCTTCCCCCAGCCCCCAAACCCCCCTACACCAGAGCAGCTCACCGGCCCTCCACTGGGGGCTCGGCCTCAGGGGTGAAGGGCAGAGGCCCTGCGGCCGGTGGGCCTGGCCGAGGGCTCCTCCTGGCCTCCTCATGGGCCTCAGGCCACCCCACGGCCACGTGCCCCCTTGCCAACTGAGACCAGAGGGGAGCTTGGCCGCGGCCTCCCTTGAGCAGCAAATGAGGAGGGAAGTGTTGCGCCAGTCCTCCTCCAGGATTTCCCTGCGTTATTGTTTTACCACCAAGTGATCGCATAGGGCCAGATGCCGAGGTGGTACGAGCCACCCAAGCGGGCAGACAGAAAAGGGGCAAACCCACGGCCACGCCGGATGCCACCTGCCACAGGGGGCACAGGGGAACATCACAGCAACAACTGAATGGCCAGCTGGGAGGGGTGACGGTAAGGGCTTCTTTAAATGGGAAGCTGAGGAAACGGCAGCAATTGCATGCACCCGCGAGCAGCCGGCGACGAGGAAACACCCGT